ATTTTTTGTGCTTATTTAATGTAAAAGTATATAGAACCATATATTTTTGGAATCCGTGTCAAGTAACCTATCATATTATACAAGAAGTAATATTTTTCTAAACCGGAAGTATCAAATTATCTCCCTTATTTCGGACAAAAGTGTATAGAAACCATATATTTTTTTGAATCGGTACTCACTATAATCTAAGACTGGAAATGACATTTTAGACTCGATTTTGATATTTTTAGATACAGCCTAAATATGTTACACTCCTAGACAATGAAGATGGTTTCATGGTAGATTGATCACTCATCTGGAGACATAGCATGTAAGTATTTGGTATTTTTAATTGTTCCTTAAACTATGTTTATATGGTTTGCAGGTAACAAAAATCAGTTTTCCCTGGAACAACAGCTTAAATTAGATTTGATTACAAATTGGTTTTAAATTTCTTTTATTCAAATTTATACTCTTATGAAGATAAGTTTAATGATAATGTATAGAAATTGTTTATATACTTGTCTTCAAATTAGGATTTGTCATAAAAAACGAATCATATTAATTTTGAATTAATTGCAACAATCAATATTCTCTATTTAAAGCTGATACTGATTTCGAATTTTTGTTTTTGTTAGATACAGACTAGATATGTTACACTCCTTGACAATGAAGATGCTTTCATGGTATATAGCACACGAAGATACATATCATGTAAGTATTTGGTCATTATAATTGTACTTTTATATCTTTTTATATGTGGAAGGTAACAAAAATCAGTTTTCCCCTTGAACAACCATTTAAAATTTTATTACAAATTTGTCTAATATTTCTTTTATTCAAATATTTACTGTAATAAGTTAAGTAATTGTAAATATACTAAGTCTCAAATTTAGGATTTGACAAAACATGCATCACATTAATTTCTGAATTGATTGCAATAGCAAATATTCCCTATTTAAAGCTGATACTAATTTACAATTTTTGTTTTTTATACAGATACAGCCTAAATATATTACTCTTCGACAATGAGATGGTTTCATTGTATATAGCACATTAGGATTAGTTACATGTATGTATTTATTCATTACAATTTTTTTCTTTAAACTAGGTTTATATTTGTTAGGCATTAAAAATCAGTTTTCACTGAAACAACAGATTGAAGCTTTATAACAAATTGGTTTAAAATTTCTTTTATTTTTATTTATATCCTAATGAAGTATATTTTAATAAGAATGTATAGGTATTGTAGATATACGTCTCCAATTTAGGATTTGACATAAAACACGCATCACATTAATTTTTGAATTGATTGCAACAGCAAATAGCTTTAATTTTGAAGCTGTAACTAATTTCAAATATATGTTTTTGTTACAGATAGCCTAAATATGTAAGACTCCTATACCATGAAAGATGCTTCCATTGCAGATAGCATATTAGGATTAGTCACATGTAAGTATTTATTCATAACAATTGTTCTTAAAAACTATGTTTATATTTGTTAGGTAATAAAAATCAGTTTTTCCTGGAACAACAGCTTGAAATTTTATTACAAATTGGTCCTACATTTCATTTATTGAAATATTCACTGTAATGAGATATATTTTAATAAGAATTCAAAACGGAAAGCCCTAATCAAATGGCAAAAGCAAAAGCTCAAACACATCAAATGAATGGATAACAACTGTTATATTCCTGACTTTGTACAGGCATTTTCTTATGTAGAAAATGGTGGATTAAACCTGGTTTTAAAGTTAGCTAAACTTCTCGCTTGTATGACAGTCTCATCAAATTCCATTATATTGACAGTGATGTGTGAACAAAACAAACCGACACAATAGGTAAACATGTCACAAATAGGGGCACAACAGCAACACGAACCGTACCAAAAACGGGGTGTGATCTCAGGTGCTCCGGAAGGGTAAGCAGATTCTGCTCCACATGTGGCACCCGCCGTGTTGCTCATGTTATAACAAAGCTGGTAAATAGTCTTAATTCGGTAGGTCACATTCGTGAAAAGGGAATGGGATTGTAGTTACGACATAAGGAACACGAAGTGATGATTTCAACTTTACCATTTGGAACTCTTGGTTTTGTATGGTGATTGTAAAAATTCTTGTCTCCAATGAAGGATTTGACATAAAACATGCATCACATTAAGTTCTGAATTGATTGCAACAGCAAATAGTCTGGATTAAAAGCTGAAATTAATGTATATTTTTTTTTTTTTCGTTGCAGATAGCCTAAATATGTAAGACTCCTATGCCATGAAAGATGCTTCCATTGTAGATGCACATTAGGAATAGTCACATGTAGGTATTTGGTCATTACAATTTTTTCTTAAAACAATATTTATATTTGTTAGGTAATAAAAATTGGTTTTTTTCTGAAACCACAGATTGAAGCTTTATAACAAATTGGGCTAAAATTTCTTTCATTCAAATTTATACTCTAATGCTGAATATTTTGATAAGAATGTATAGTAATTGTTTTTATACTTTTTGGGATTTAACATAAAACATGCATCACATTATTTTCTGAATTGATTGCAACAGCAAAAAGTCTGGATTTAAAGCGGAAACTTAATTTATAATTTTTGTTTTTGTTACAGATTATACAGCCTAAATATGTAACACTCCTATACCATGAAAGATGCTGTCATTGTAGATAGCACATTAAGATGTTGCACATGTAGGTATTTGGTCATTACAATTTTTCTTAAAACTATGTTTATGTTTGTTAGGTAATAAAAATCCATTTTTTTCCTGAACAGTTTGACAAAAAGATGCTTTATGTTAAAATGGGTCTCGTAAAAGCAGACCTCTGCAGAGAGCAAACTTTAGATTTTGATATAACATTGATGAATTTAATGGGCGCTAATCTCGTGAAAACAGATCCCCCAACAGAGCTGATTACATAGTATGATGAAAACTTGTGTTTATGGTGAAATGTATTTAGTTTTTTGTCTGGCTCCATTTCATTATCAACCAATTTGAAACTTTATTACAAATTGGTCTAAAAATATTTTTTTCAAATTTACATTCTATTGAAATATATTCTTAATGGAATGTATAGTAATTATAAATATTCTTGTCCAACATGCAAAAGATTAAATTCTGAAAAAATTGCAACAGCAAATAGACTCTCAAGCTGATATTAAGTGATAGTTTTTGTTAAAGATACAGCCTAAATATGTTGCACTCCTAGACAGAAGAAGATGGATTCATGGCACATAGGAAGAGTCAACATGTAAGTATTTGGTAATTACAATTGTACTTAAAACTATGTTAATATTTGGAAGTCAATAAAAATCTGTTTTCACTGAAACAATAGCTTAAAATTTTATTACAAATTGGTCTAAAATATCTTTTATTCGAATTTCAAATGTGGTATATTTTAATAAGAATGAAAGAGTAATTGTAAATTAATTGTCCGTAATTTAAGATTTAACATAAAACGTGAATCACATTAATTTTTTAATTTTTTCAACAGCCATTAAATATTCTTTATCTAAAGCTGATGCTAATTTAAATTTTTTCTTTTGTAACACATACAGCCCAGATATGTTCCACTCCCACACAATGTAGATGGTTTCATGGTAGATGGCACATTAGGATGTTTAACATGTAAGTATTTAGTCATTACAATTGTACTTTAGACTTTATATGTGTTGGGTAATAAATATCAGTTTTCCCTGGAACAACAGCTAAAATAAAATTTTATTTCAAATTAGTGTACATATTTTTTTTTTTGTTCAAATTTATAGTCTATTGAAGTAAATTTTAACATGAATGCATAGTAATTGTAAATATACTTCGAGTCCAATTTAGGATTTGACATAAAATATGAGTGACATTTATTTATAATTGATTGCAACAGCCAATAGTCTCTATTTGAAGCTGGTAAAGTCTTTCCACTTTTCCGTGAAAAGACTTAATGCTTTTGTTGTGATTATTATAATTTGTTTTTTCTTCCGCCTAATTTTTTTCCTTCACTGTTTGGTTGTTTTGCAAGATGTCGCTTAGATATTTGGTATATGATATCAAACAGTTTATACGCTCTTGAAACTGACACTGCTTAACCGAATACTTTTCTATGTAAGAGTTATCTCCCCGAACACTGTTTTTCTTGATATTTCTTATTCTTCGCAACCTTAGAAGAAACCGACTAATTTATTTTTTCAAATTACTCGTTATATCCTGGATGTTACGTTTCATTTTGACTGAAGCGTTGCGAAGACTCCATATGAGAGTTATTCCCCCTTATGTATTTGAAATAAGTGATATGTATTTGTAACTTGTAAACCATAAATGATAGAGACCTAGGGTGTTTTGGTTTGAGGTCATTGGTCAACTTAAAGAAAATTTAGGTCAAGGTCATCTTCTAAATTTTTATTTTGGCTTATTTCTTATCAGAGGCCGTATAAGATATTGACAAAATATTTTTACTAAATTGTTATATGCAAACTGTCGTAACACATGATTTTTGGTTGAACGCGTACCCTGACATAAAATGGGAGTTTCTTCCCCTCTCATATTTAAAACTAGCTGTATGGTGATATTACTCATTAACCATATATAGTATAGACCTAGGGTTTTTTATTTGAGGTCCTTACTTTATGACTTTAAAATATAGGTCAAGGTCATAGGTAAATTTGACGTTCTATATTTTGACTAGCATTAACTTTATTTTTATAAACGATAGAGCCATAGGACTTCTTGCATTTAGTTGCAAGATATATGACCTTGAAAAAGCCAACCAGAAGTGACTTTGTGTGAACCGGAAGTAGCTATTTTCTTTACTTATTTATGTAAAAGTATATAGAACCATATATTTTTGGAATCCGTGTCTAAGTAACCTATCATCATTATACCAGAAGTAATATTTTTTAAACCGAAAGTAACAAATTATCTCCCTTATTGCGGACAAAAGTGTATAGAAACCATATATTTTTGGAATCGGCACTCAGCTATAATCTAAGATTGGAAATGACATTTTAAACTAGATTTTGATATTTTCAGATACAGCCTAAATATGTTACACTCCTAGACAATGAAGATGGTTTCATGGTAGATTGATCACTCCTCTGGATACATAGCATGTAAGTATTTGGTATTTTTAATTGTTCCTTAAACTATGTTTATATGGTTTTCAGGTAACAAATCAGTTTTCCCTGGAACAACAGCTTACATTAGATTTGATTACAAATTGGTTTAAAATTTCTTTTATTCAAATGTATACTCTTATGAAGATAAGTTTAATGATAATGTATAGAAATTGTTTATATACTTGTCTTCAAATTAGGATTTGTCATAAAAATGCATCTTATTAATTTTGAATTAATTGCAACAATCAATATTCTCTATTTAAAGCTGATACTGATTTAGAATTTTTGTTTTTGTTAGATACAGACTAGATATGTTACACTCCTTGACAATGAAGATGCTTTCATGGTACATAGCACACAAAGATACATATCATGTAAGTATTTGGTCATTATAATTGTACTTTTTAACTCTTTTTATATGTGTTAGGTAACAAAAATCAGTTTTCCCCTTGAACAACAGTTTGAAATTTTATTACAAATTTGTCTAACATTTCTTTTATTCAAATATTTACTGTACTGAGGTATATTTTTCATAAGAATGTAAAGTAATTGTAAATATACTAGTCTCCAATTTAGGATTTGACATAAAACATGCATCACATTAATTTTCTGAATTGTTTTTTTTACAGATGCTACTTATATGATATTTCAGTAGTAGAAGGTGCAGCATGGCAGCAATATGATATTTCAATAGTATAAGGTGCAGCATGGCAGCAGAAGATGTTACATGGAGAATCGTGAAGAGACAGTTTAATTCTTTAGAGGATAAATAATATTATAGTTTATAGATTTATAGTTTATAAATTCTTTAAAGTTCAAAATATCAGATGAGAATTTGCCAAGTGCCCTCAATATGTCTACAATGATATAACATTCATAATTACGAATGTATTGTAAACCTCTTTTTCAATATTCATATTAAAGGAAGTAGATTGTCAATTTCGATATTTACTTATTTACCTTAAATTTTATTAAGTAATTGGAACAATATGTCTTTATTTAGATTGTTTGAAATTCAAGTTCAAAATGTATTTACATCAGATAGTTTGGGTTTGCCAGCAACTTCAGTTGTATTATAGTATAGCCAAAAGATCATTTGTTGGTTGTAAATAATGCCAGCTTTGAATAAGATTTTAAAATAGAAACTATCTTCAAATTTGACAAGTTACCATATCTACATATGAATAAATTAGAATAGTCTGTAAATATTCTGTATTTTCCTTTTTGCATCATCTTTTGAGTAACCAAATCAGAACACCCAATTTTGTGAAATACTTTTTCCTGTTATATCTATCATTGCTTTTGTAAGATAAAAAGAAAAATGTATATGCAGTTTTGTTTAATATATTTAAATTAAAAAATTCAATTTCAAATTAACACAAACAAAATTTACTTTAACTTATGGTTTAGTTCATGCACCCTTTAATGTATATCTTAAAAGTTTTGTTGTGGACTAAGCAAATATCAAATTATCATTTCAGAAGTACATTTTGCTTGCATGGTAATATCTTCACTAACATTTAACATAGTGGGTTTTGGAGTTGCTGAGGTAGTTCTTATTGAGGTGTTTCTTTTTTTTTCTACAGAGGAATCAGTGGTTTCTGTCTTCAGGATATGGTTTTTTTCATTCAAAGGGAACTGTCAATGTAATTCTGAAATGATATACATTTGGTATTTTATTGTCATTGAAAAAGAAACAATATTAGTGCATGAACATTTGAACTGTGAATATATAATATTTAAACTTTATAATTTATAATTTTTAAATCTATTTTGGAAATTTACTGTATCAAAATTAAATTGTATTTGACAGTTTGATGGATGGAAATTGAAAATTGGACAAACTTAATTTATGTTCTAAATTTAAGCACAAGTGAAAATAAAATTTCAAATATAAATTTCTGCTTCATTAAAACTTTTGGTTAAATGGATCTGCAAAATCACTGATAGCTAACATGGTTAATCCACTTAATTAGATAGTGTCGTTAAGTATAGTCTAATGAATCCTGTTGATATCCTATTAAAAGTATTGATGTATTATAAATCCTATTCCTAAATCTAACATGTCAGACGCCAGAGACCCCCCTTTGTTATAGAGGGATCGCCCTTGCATCAGTGTCTTACAAATTGTACTGTAATATACTGAACTATAGATTAGCTCAGTGGGTAGATGATAACAATGTACTGGTTGAGGAACAGAATGGTTTACGGCAATTTTTCAGTACAATAGACCAATTATCTACTCTTACTAATTTGATAGATGTGAGAAAAACACTTCCTAAATCAATCTTTTGCACCTTTATTGAATTTAAAAAGGCTTATGACACTACAAAGAGATATTTTATGGTATAAACTAAATAAATTGGTGTTGCACAGACTTTTTGTTCTGCTATTAAGTCAATTTATACAAATGTTCTGTAAGAATAAACAGTCATTTCACAGACTAGCTTGATGTAAACACTGGCTTGAAACAAGGATGTCCCTTGTCGCTCATTTTGTTCAACTTGTATATTAATGATTGAGTAACATTTTTTAAGTCCTTTGACTGCGGAATAGAAATTGGTGATGAAAAACTGTATTTTATTATATGCTGATGACATTTTTATAGCAAACAATGAAAAAGAGCTTACAACTTTTCTTAAATGCCTTTTCTACATGATTTAAAGACAATTGTATTGACAATTAATTCAAACAAGAGTAACATTGTACAATTTAGACCACCATCTATACCTAGATATGATGTAATTTTTAATTTTAATGGTCATACTATTAAGTTTCTAGTAATGATACTTATCTTGGTCTCGTTTTAAACAAGCATTTAGACTATAATATCACTATAAAAGCCGTTGCATCTTCAGCAAATAGAGCTTTAGGGATGGTAATAGCCAAGTGTAAACTTTTAGGTGGTGTTTGTTTTTGATGTATTTGTAAAATTATATGAAAGTTTGGTTTGTCCTATAATAGAATATGAAAAGGTATATGGGGTGTAAAGACATATTCTTGTATAAATTTCATACATAATGGGGCCTGTAGATTTTTTCTAGAAGTAAAAAAATATGCACTAAATGCTGCAGTTACTGGAGACTTGGGTATAATTGTATTTTCCCGCATTTCGTATAGCGGGAAAATATTGTATTGACGGGCACAGGTCGTATGAATATATAATAGGGTCACTTATAGTGACTAATGGGTGTACTTTCTGGTAATAAAGCATAGGGTCACTTTCTATGTGTCGTGAAACGAGTGAACACTCACCTTGCATTTTTGATGTATATACGTTGATAATTTTATTTTTGTATTGCATTTTGATTTACCAATACACACATGTGTTAAGGTGTAGGTCAGAGCACCTGACCCTGGAGACAGGATTGCGCACTTGGCATCCACTGACACAGGTTTCTAGAGCTTTTTGATCGATTATATCGTTTTTTTTTATCTCTAGTTGTTCCTGGCCGGCCCTGACTGTCTATGAAGGGGTGCATTTAGTCAAAAATTGGTTTTGGTGTGGTTAGGATAATCATGGAAGTATTATATTTTACTTCCATGGGATAATATATATACATAGGAATGGTATGATTTTGAATTATATATGCATTGCAATAATAATGATTTATTGAATTTGTGGATATTTATAATACAATCTGGCGTCCATCGAGCATGACGGGCTGTCGGTCGGCAAACTAAGATTATGTTTGCGTTGTTTATATTTGGCATGAGTATGTAGTAAATACCACCTTTTTTTGATAAGCAGTGGAAAAGTATTATTTGTTTGTGGTGTAGATTTAATAATATGAGCTCAAGTCGGATAAATGCAAAAGTTCATTAGTGGGCTGATAGAATGAGTATTAAGCATAAGTGTGTTGAAAACGAACTTTTTAGTAAGGAAAACCTTCTCTGAAGTCATTTATCGTGTCCTGAAAATATGGACACTAATAATGTTAAACTTTTAATGTCAAAATACATTTCAGTCACAGAAGTGCTTTTCTCAAATTTAGATGTGGTGTTGCTCCACTAAGGATTTAAACTGGGAAATATGTAAATATTGTTTTAGAGTGTGCCATATATGTTATAGTTTTATTGAAGACGAAGCACATGTTTTATTAAGATGTCCTCTTTATGAAGATTTTAGAAACCATTTATATTATGTTGCTGAAACTTATAATGAAAATTTTAATACTTTAGATAATAACCAAAAGTTAGTGTTTTTATTCTCAGATGTAAATATGTGTTTTTATTCTCAGATGTAAATATGATACATGTGTGATCCAAAACCTGTTATTTGATTTTAAAAAGGCGTAGAAAATTTATATATGGTAAATACATGTAGTACTTTATTTCATATTGTTTAATATATTATATCTATGCATTTTAATAGTCTCTTATAATTCTGTAAAGAATGGCTCATTTTATTTAGTATTGTTTTACAATGTATAAATATCGATTGTCGAGAGATGATACATTCATAAAATATTGAATTAATTGAATTGAGTTTGTTAGTATTACAATCAATATTTGTGTATGCCTCGCACAAAAAGGTGCAAACAGGGCCGTACTGGACATCTTCAGTTATCAAGGTTTTTTTTTTATAACAGACCCACTGAGATCTGGTATCCAGGAAATTAAAATGAATCAACAATACTTTCATGTATTTTGTACAATAATATTTTTCTAATTACACCTTATTCATGATGCAGATTTGTCTTCATCTAATACTATGATGATGTACTACAGTGGCATAAAAGTAGTTACGATAGGTTTAGAAAGTGTCATTTTGGTATTTATTATCATGATGCATTAGAATCAAATTTCCCCACGTTTCAAGGAATAACATTGAAAAATAATTTATAAGTCAACACTTCTAACCAGCAGTCTGTTTTGAATAATAAGATTTCTTTAAAACTGTTCAATGTATACCTCCTTCGACAATCTTCCTAGCATTAGATATTGGAATTTTTTAAAAATTTTCCCCACTACATTTTCAGTTTTAAATTCAATTCGCCGTGTTAACTCGTTTTAGTTGGTTGTTCCATGTCAGCGAGGTCGTCGATGATAGAATTTTTGCCATTATTTGATATTTCACATAAAATACAATGTAAGAGCATTTCATCAATTATAATTGCTACGATTTTCTTTATGTATTTATGCTTATCCTTGTATGCATGTTTATTGTTTTAATAAAGATAAAATCCGATGTCCAGGTTATCGGCAATATGAATATATTATTTGTTTTGTTTAAGCCCAAGTATTTGGAAAGATTCGTAAATGAAATTTTTTTGAGGAAACCAAGGATTTGCAAATAAACCAAGGATTTGCAAATAAACCAAGGATTTGCAAATCCTTAACAAAACCTATGTTACAGCTCATTAACCCCTTCCATGGTGATGCACATGTTCATCCATCCCTTTGTCCTGTCTCAAGTTTGCTTTCCATTCTGATTAATTACAATTTGCCTAATGTCTTGAACAACAATAATATGCTGGTCAAGTTCGATTTTGTCTTAGTTACTTTTAGAGGTGTGATATTACAATTGTTTTCCCCCAATTAGTCTTTGTTAAATTTGCACTCTTCTAAAAATTTATCTTTGTTCCAAATAAAGAAATACTTGGCTTTAGTCAAGTTTTATTCTTTATAGCTGTATGGCTACAGACAAAATTTCAAATAACATGTCGTTGCATATACGATGATTACCATCACTGGAAGTTCACCAATCAAATGTTCTCCCCTTTTTGTCCTGTGTTCAAGCTTATGTAACCTCAAGTTTCCTAAATATTCTATAGAAACACCAAATCAGAGGCTCTGACGATCCTGTGTCGCTCACCTGGTTCTACTTTGATTGTGGGAATCATGTAAAAATAGATTAAAATCATAACAGATACCCTAATAATAATTGAGGCCAAGTTTGGTTTAATATTGGCCCCGTAATTTAATCAAAAATCATGGTGGTCATCTTGAACAGTAAATCGGCAACAAAGTAGCAAGTCCCCCATTTGCAGCCATCTTGGTTGATGGATTTGCTACAAAGTAACAACACTTAGTCAGCACCTCATAAGGAACATTCATGCCAAGTTTGGTTTCATCACATTCAGTGGTTCTTCAAAAGAAGACTTTTGTATGTATTTCACATAGGGTCCTTTGTTAAACTAAGTTCCCCGCTGCAATCATCTTGGATGATTGATTGGCTACAAAGTAACAACACTTGGTCAGCACCTCATTAGGAACATTCATGTCATGTTTGGTTTCATTTCATTCAGTGTTTCTCTAAAAGAAAACATTTGTACCCTTATGAAAAGAGAAACTTTGCTGCAACCCTGAGGTAAGGTTGCAGCAAACTTGCGGCAATCTTTTGAGTTCGCCATAAGACCTGAAAGTTGTTCACCAGTGTTCGCCGATAGCAGTGACCTTTCGGCAAACAAATGTAAAAGTTTGCCGCAAGTTTGCCGCAAACTTAACTTTCTTAAAATTGAAG